TTTATGCTGGAAAGCTGAACATTAATGCTGTTGTTGAGGTTCAGACTGCAAGAACTTTCCACAACTGCCATGTTCACAAACTCTGCTGCAGAAATTAAATGTTGATGAATAACACTTTTGATCGTTGAAGTTTTATGGTGTGTAGGGACTAAGGTGCTTTCATTTTTTCTGTTGCAGTTCTGTTTGAGATTTCAAGAATATTAAACACTGGCTTGGATATGGAGACATTGTCTATTTGCGTGCGGCTTTGTGAACAGGGAATAAATCCAGAGGCATTATCATCTGTGATTAAAGAACTGCGTAAAGCTACAGAAGCTCTAAAGGTAATGCCTTTACTTAAAAAGCTTATAAATTTGTTTTAATTTGAGTCAGATGTATGTTCAACTTGCTGTACTTCGAATTGTATATTGTACTTTAAGATACGAGTCATTTTTAAATCAAAGAAATAAACTGTTCCCTAGAAAAGACAATTAATACAACTGAATGGACCATGAAGCATGAAATGGTACAAGTAAAATCTTTTCAGAAATAATAAGATTAACTCTTTTGAAGGAAAAAAGCCAACAACCAGAACTCGTGGATTTTTATTCTGGGCATTTTTAGCCACCATTTGCCCCCTTATCTGCATCATATCACAAATAGATTGCTACTTTCTCCTTTAACACATATCATCTAATTTCTACAACTTCAGGCCTAATTGTATGCAGCAGTACTTGTAAACAGATACATGCAGCTTCCTAATGTAATCTTCATGTATTGATTTTACCACATTAACCTGTGCTTTGAATCTCTCCAAAGACAAACAAGCCCTATATAATAGGCCTTTTCATAATTTAGCATTTACCTGTTTAGCAAGTAGAGAAGATAACTATGGTTTAAAAAAAATATTCACTTGCCTTTTAAAAGATTTTCATTTTTTACTGTCTTCCTAAACATCATGATTTCTTTTCCAGTATATCTTATATTTGTTTATTTCTGGGGAAACAGAGGGGAAACCTATATCTAGCCTGCCTATAGAGTTGAAGAATAGTTTGGGACAGGAGCATACACACACCTGTAAGTGGTAGCATTCACAATCTCAGTAGTTTTTCCTCCATTAAACTCTCTGACTGGTGTGATTAAAATTTAATATATGTCAGTTTTTTAAAGTTCATAATTCCTCTCTCAATCAAGAGACTGTCTTGCATCTCTAAATATTGGCAGTCAGAAAAAAGTAGTTTTGGGGTTTTTTTGGTTTTTTTCCCCCTTTTGAGGAGTGAAGGAAATTATCTGAACCCTGGTTTGATAAAACTGAATCAATGTAAGAAATTTTATGCGCTGTAGTTATTTTGTCTAAAAGCTGATCATGTATTTGACATAATCTGGGAATGTATTGTGTATGCTTCCTAGAAAGGTTTTTGTTTCTCCAACCCATGCTAATAGAAAGTCATATATTGAAACATTGCTCCTATGGAAGGCTGTTGGAATAGAAGAGAAAGGGAGAGATGAAGAAAAGCAGAAACCGGTTTCTAACTGTTTTTCTGTTCTGGTTTCTAACTGCATTCTGATCCTTAGAAAATTCAACTTAGTTTTTTGACTACATGGAGTCAGGGCTGTTTTTTTCACTGGTTTTCATGTTTTTCTTCTTTTTTAGCTTAACATTTCTCCATACTCATGAATATTTTATATTTGGGTACTTGCTTAAATGTTTGCATTGTCTATGTTTAACTATGTATACATAAGTAATTGAGGACTGTTTTACTTCATCCTTTGCTTTTACTGGTTTATCATTCTGTTGCTGTCCTTTGCCGATTTGTCCCATAACTGGCTTAAAATCTACCAATGTCAGTCTCCAACAACTGTACCTTGTTGGCAGGGTTGACTTATTCAGTAATAAAAATACTGATGACCTTGATCAAGTAATTGGCAGTGTGATTTATGCAGTTATGATTAGTGTCATTCTTCTAAGTTTTGTGTCAATAATTTATCTGTATAAGTGGGGGTAATAGTTACTATAAATTGTATAAAGAAATAAACTCTAAAGGGGAAAAAAAATCATGCGTTTGAGCACTTCTTGAAAGCATGAGGGCAAAATATACAGGGTACAAGCTACTTGGATACAGGATATACAATTTAACACAAGCAAACAGTAATGGCTATGTTAAGAAAAGCTAATGGCAGTTGACAGCTTTATTTAAAGAAAAAAGTAGTATTCATCAGAGAACAATGCTACACATTTTGTGCTTTTCATAAGTAGCTTATTTTAGGCTTAAATTCTCTAGGTAAATTAAAATATTTACAGGAAAAGATTAAATTTAATCTACATTATGTCTACTTTTGGTGACTTGTAGTAAACATTTTTTTTCTGTTTCTAGGCTGCTGAAAATATGACAGGCTGACATGGGAGAAAATTTCTTCATGAGAAGAATGCCAAGTTAAAGTTAACAGAGACTTTGGAGATTGCCACTATCTATGAAAAAAGTGATATAAGTCTGCGTGAAGGTTTCTGAATATTTCTGTAGCCTTCTTGAAAAGGATTATGTATAGAATAACTTTGAGAAGTCTTTTAATAAGATAAGTTCACCAGTAGTCTCATTACTTGGTATTTTTGTGAACTGTTTGTGAATATAGTGCAATTGCTCTTCTTTGGCATCCAGTGTTTTTTAAACTATGTCAGATACTGCACACTTGCTGAACTTACTAGTGTGTAGCAATGTATATTGTTATAATGAGTATAGCTTGTTAATGCATCTTTTGGAAGTGCTGATGTAGCCTGGTTTTTATCTGTTGCTTTGAAGAAAAAAACTACATATGCAATTTTAGGTTTGCGTTATGGACCAGATAGGAGTGAAGGCCATCCTGACTTTTTAATTAGACTAAAGGTGATGTCTTAAATCTTAATCTGAAAGAAATAAAGCACTTCTGATAATGTAGTAATGAATTGTCCTTTTGATTCAAATTGCTGGAAAAAGTATTTTTAATTTGGATAACAAGTAGGAAGTTTCATACTGGAAGTGTTTCTGTGCCATAAAATAAAAATGACTCACTTCATTAGCATCCCTACTATGTGAGCATGAGTTCAGACTTATCATTGATGACTGAGAAGCCTTGCCTGTATTTGTAACATACCATCTTCTGCCACCTTTAACTGTAAGAAGCCAAGCAAACAGCATGTGCTTTTCCTCTGGGCTCCTTACTTACATGCTCTCGAAACTCTTGAAAAGATAAACATAGGAATAACTATACAGATCCTGACCAAAGGTTTTTCTAACACAATAACCTCTTATAGTCAAAAGCAGATGCCTGAGGAAGGATAAGAACAATGCAAGCACATTTGGTTCCTTTGCTTCTGTGTTCTCCTAGCTTCCAGGTGTCTTCTGTTCCAAGCTTTCCTCAACATCATATGGTTTGTCTATTTCGTAATCCCCAGTGCTTCTTTTTCTAGTACTTGTCCAGTTTCCCTTGGATTATATATGCTTCCTGAATAACAGCAGCCTTTATCAATTGATACCTGTTGCGTAAAGTATTGCCACTTCCTGTTTATTTTGAACCTGATTTTTACTAGCTTAATGTAATGTTTCCTGCACAGTAAACCTTTACTGATCATGCTTGTGCCAGTCATGATTCTGTAGATGTATCGCAGGGGCCTTTAAATTGCCTCTTTTCTTAACTGAAATGTGTTAGCTAACATATTCCTTGGCTGACTAAAGGCATAGAAAAGCTTCTGTATTTATTGTCTTTAAAAGCTTTTCTGGGTCTCCTATATTACTTTCTGTCAAGGGAACCAAAACTGCACACAGCATTAGCTGTGTAGTTAAGTACTGACCTGTTTTACTTTCTTGTTCTCTATTCCTTTCCTAGTAATTCCTAGTACTTGACTTGCTTTTTAAATTTGAACTGAAAACTGAGTTGTTTTCATGGTATTATCTATCTCAGGATAGATCTCACTCTTGAGTGGTAATAATAAGCTCCAAGTCTGTTTCATATGTGCAACTATGGTGGTTTATCTCCATGTGTATAATTTTTTATTTATATATGCAGAATTGCATCTGCCATTTTGTTTCCTAATCAGTCTTGCATGTCTTTCTGCAGTTCTTCAGTTTGACAGTAGTCTTACTACCTGCACTAACTTTTTAATTGGCAAATTTTGTCACTTTGTCCCTTTTTTGAGGTTAATTATGAACAGGTCAAGCAGCACATGACCTAGCAAAGACTGCAGACTGCCACTGGTGACCTATGGCAGGAACTGACTGGTTTTTACCATTCCTTTTCAGTGACTGTAACTAAAATGCAATCCTACCTACCACTTAGTTTCTCATTCTTGTACTGAGTGTCTTCAGTGTTATATGGAGCATAGCTGTGAGAGCTTAAGCATAATCATGAATCCAGTTCTGCAGAGAGCATGGTATTCTAGATAACTTTCAGGATCACTGACATTTGTAGTTACATAATTACATTTTAGAAATATAAACTTAAGTAGGAAAATAACTTCACAGGAGATGTAGAGTACTGGAGCAAAAAGACAAACATAAGAACCTGAAGTCTCCATGGTAATGTTAGAGAGCTTTTGTTTCTTATGCAATTATGTTAACCAAAAAGTCTGTTAATGGTGTAAAAAAAAACAACAACAAAAAAACCAAACAAACAAAAAAACCCCAAACAAACAAAAAACTGGCTGATGATTAAGCCAGGACACTTGACCTAATAGAACTATATCTATGAATACATGTATATTTTTCAGCTAATGTTCTTTTCCAGCCTACTGGTCTCCATCTGGTTCAGTCCTAGACTTGCTTTTTGAGTCAATCAACTAGTTTCCTCTGAGATGAACTTGAATGCTGTTGTGGGAACACCACTCCAGGGACTTCTCCCAGCAGGATGCACAAGGTCGGGTCCTTCCATTCTTCCCCAACACTTTTTCACTTTCAAACACCCATGTGTACTTTTGTGCACTTATAATTTCATGCCATGGAAACCCTCTAGCCCTTATTATTTAAATATACATTGAAGTATAAAAAATGACAGTAACCTAAGAATCAAGAGTGACCCGTGACAAAACACTGTGTAGCATGGCTGTAGGCAACCTGCTTTAAAGAGAGCTAATACTTAACAGGAGGGCTTTACATTGCTATGCATGATCTGAGCTAGGGACTTAGGCATGCCTTGAGTAGTGGAGATTCAAATCTTACAAATATTACTTTTAATTAAAGTTTGGAAAATGAAATTCCAAAGAATGAAAAGGGTGCCAAGGTAATTTCAACCTTTAAAAGAGCAAGGGTGGTTACAGAAGATTGAAGACCAGTCACCTGGCATGAGCACTAGCAAGCAGTGAACTTGGATTTTATCAGCAAAGAATGAAAGACAAAAATTTACTGAATTCCATTTGAACATTGTTTTGGTGGAAATGTTAGTGGGATAATTTTTTTGTTATTTATGGGTTTACACGTGAGATGTTGATACAGTATACTTCAATTTATGCAGGGCAATTTTCAGTTAAACCACCATTGTCATCATTCAGTAAAAACAAATGTACTGTGCTGTTAACTATTTTGCTGTGTTGTTACCTTGGGAGTGAAATTTGTTAAAAAAAACAAAAAAACAAAAAAACAAAAACCAAAAAAGCAACCAAACAAACAAAACTAACAACAACACCAAAAAAAAACCCAAAACAAAAAAAAAAAAAACCCCAACCAACCTTTAAAAATGTAAAAAGCAAAATCTTGGTTCTTGAAAACTGCTAAATTGAGAAGGATTTTTGAGGCACCCATAGACAGCTACTTCACTGTGAGGGTTCTGTGAAGTTGTAGCAAGAGTTCCTGTTCGATACAGGAAATAGATTTATCAAGTAGAAATAGCAAAGTAAAACCATAGTGCAGCCTGATTACTGCTTCCAGGCCCATGGTTTATACTTTGAGAAAGTTGTAAAGACACAAGGATAATTTAAATGAAAACCATAAAACTGCTTCAGGACTAGAGAACAAGCGTGGTAAGGTCTGAAAGCATTCAGGAGTGTGCAGGTTCTCAAAGAGAAGTTGAGAAGAGGCATAATGACCATGGGTATGTCCTTGAACATAGAAGGAATTCTTGTGGCTACATCTTTTTAACCTGACAGAGAAAACACAACAGATCGAGTAGCTGATATTAGACAAATCATTCCTTAATAAGGCACAACTTCCCGGGGTGAAGGCAAGTAAACGTTGACATAGCATACTAGGGAAATGGCAAACTGGCTACTGCTTGATGTTGTTAAAATGAAATTGAGAATATTTCTAAAAGACAAGGTTTAATCCAGTTTCTGGGGGAAAGTCTACAATACCTTTCTGCAGGGTGTCAGGCATGCTGGCTGTGGCAGTTCCTTCTGACTGCAGAGTCCATGAAGGGCAATGTAAAGCAGCTCAGTGTAAAGTAAAAGTAACGTGAAGAAAATTAGGAATATTTAGGATGAATATCAGTGATGTTTCTGTCAGTAAGATAAATGGAAGCCTGGTTTCTGAGATATTTAAGTGTTACCTGATAAAAGAAACCCAACACAACTATTAATTATCTGAACTAGCAATCTGGAATATATTGAGTCTGAGCACTTTTTTTATCACTTTATAAATATTCCTATTTTTCTCGCCTCTGATTCTTACACTAAGGAGAGACCAGCTTATGAAGATGAATCTCTGAAAGAGCTTGATGTTGTCATTACATGGGCAAGTGGGAGTTTAACACTCAAATGCAACTTTCGATGAGGAAGAGAGAAAATGTGGGAGTGGAAGAGCCATGCTATGGTTCCCAAAGGAAGCAACCAGGAGGACCCTTGAGCAGGGGAGAAGATGAAGGAGGCCATGGGAGGGTGAAGAGGCTGAGGGACATCCCAGTTTGATTTTATTTCAATATTTTATCCGTACACCAGATCCAAAATTAGTATGCTTGAAGATTGTGACAGGTCTTCCTATTCAATGTACAGGAGGGACTAGGATTCATCGGTGGTCATATGCCCTACTCCTAATCCACAGGTTCAGTTTAAGTTTAAGACTTTCCTGAATCAGGTGGGATTGTTTATTAACCACTCTCAGCAATGCTGAAGCTGTGGCAGGGTACTGCACAGGTCAGGGCTCCCTGGGAGTGGCAGGGACCCCAAGGTCTGTCAGGGCAAGGCCTGGCTGCCCGGCCCCATCCCACCGCCCCAGCCAGGGAGCTGTGGCCAAGCCCAGATGTGGGCCTGGGGTGGCCATGCTAAAACATTTTGGATTGTTCCAGTGGTTTTTTGGCCTTGAAGCTGGCAGTGGTGGGACAGGACCACTGAACCCCTCTGCCATTGCTGCCGGTTGGCACAGCTTGTGAGGATGCTACTTGAAAGAGCCAACCTGTCAGCTATCACTCCATCCTGCTTCCCCAGACTCACAGAAAAGCT